CACTGACTTAAGTTTTGTATAGAAGGTTCGAGTTGATTTTTTGGATTTGAGCGGGGACTCGAAACGTTTTATAGAAACTAAAACGGTGGCGAGCGGTCACAAACGGTGACAAGCGGTCGCAAACGGTGTCGGGAGATTCCGGGGCATTTACGACAAACCTCTCAATGAAGTCCGTGGTGCTGCCTATAAACAACTCCAACGCCCACTGGACGATCATCATTGTGGTAGTGGATCGGTATGGTGAGCTTCGACCACACTTTTACGACCCCCTTGTAATGAGCATTACAAAAGCAAGGCAGATGAGGTTTGGACGGCAAAGTTTTTGCCGTATCTACAGGCATGGCACGCACAATGGAGTTTTGGAGACGAGGAATCAAAAGAATACCCCTTTCCTGCATCAATTGAGATGAGTTGGGTTAGGACACCTACGCAGCCTGACGGAAGCAGTTGTGGAATAATGGCTGCCGCTATGGCTTATTCATTCATTCATGGAGGACGGGGTTTACAGCGGATGTGGTTACAAAGGATATCGCTAAAGTGATGCGACTCAGATTACTATGGATTATTACATGTACATCTATGATCAAGACTGCTGATGTAGAGGAACAAAGAGATGTCGTAGAGATAGGCAAGCAACTATCGCGAGCTTTCATGCAGGGCAGGAAGAAGGTATGGAACTAAGATACAGAACGTTTAATTGAATAAACTCAACTTCAACGTGAGACACTAGTCTAGATAGTTACTGCGATGTCAAGTCAATAACGTCAGCTGCCGTTAAATCGATTACTACGACAGGAGTGGGAGCTCGTGTGTGTTCTTGTTGTCCTTGAAGTAGGCCATCGTATTCAGGTGTAGCGGTCCCTGCTACCTGCTCCCGCTGTACTTGACGGGATCCTGGGGTCGTATCGTCATGCCGTGCGCGCTGGGGGCGCGTTCAGCGTCGCTCCCGCAGGCTTACACGTCGAAGAACTTGAGATGAGTGCGTTTTGCTTCGCACGTCACGGGGCATTGTTGATAGCGAGCTCAACAGCTTGAGGTGCACTGCGTTCAAGATGCTGATCGACGATTGCTACAATGTTACCTTGACAGCGGGCGACGTTAGCAATCATCTGCAACGCTATCGATTTATAGCAACGTTATCAACTCATGGCAACGTTAGCAATTCGGAGCAACGTTATAGGGATAGAGCAACGTTACGAAGGTATACCAGCAACAACACTACTGAGCAGCAACGTCAAAATTAATCGTACAACGTTATACTACTTCCGAAGTCTCTTGCTGCACTCTTCCAGCAGTATATCTAGAGATGGAACGTAGTTTGAGTTCGCCGACGCCCTTGGGTTAGACACTTTAGACGAAAGTTGGTATGCGTGGTTGAGTTCTTGCTCCAGAAGCTCTTGCAGCTCGGTCTCTACAGCGCGCAACTTGCAGATGTAGTCTTCCATTTCCTCGAGCTTCTATCGGATACACGACAGGTCGTGAACACGCGAGCGGGCCAGCAGCTCAGCAAGCTGGCTTGTCGAAAGCAACACGGGATGTCCCTCACCGCTTGCGCTTGTTCCAGGTTCCCCGCGGTCTTTCATCGTGCTTTGTGTTTTTTTTTCTTTTCTTGTTGGTGTTCAAGCCATAAGGGCACTTCAAAGAGGACCTGTGTCCGATTGAAATTGCCCTTGATTTCCGAAAATTCTACTGTCACATTTGCAGCTAATTTGATCTTTGAATCACCGATATACCAGTAGAAACCAGTTTAAAGTTGCATGTCTGTGATAATGTTGCTGTTGTGACGTTGTAAAACATATGGTATAACGTTGCATTAACGCCAGTCGATAAGCCCGTTTTTACTAAGACAACTTTTGAATCTTCGCAACCGTTGGAGGCCAGGATTATCGACATGTATTTGTGCAGGATTGGAATCCTGGTTGTGTCCAGGATTGAAAAATAAAATTCCTTTCCGACTCAGCTATTTCCGAAATTTATAAATTTCAGGCCGTCTCATTTTAGTTTCTGCCGTCCCTCCGATAAG